GTATATTAATCACAGGGACACATTTCTGAAGAACCTTTACTTGCAATTGAAACTTTTTTATTGCTGTATTTATGACTTGGCTTGAGAAAAGCATCTGAGTGCTTTGTGCACCTCTGGTCTTTCTTTCTATCATTCATTTCCTGGTTCCTTCAAAAGTCCCCCCTTTCATCACCCATCATTCTCATCCTCCTAATTTCCCCCTCACCTCCTGACACTTCTCTGTTTTCTCCCCCTGGTTTCAGGCGGAGTGGAGCTGGGCATCAACGCGAGCGGAGAGAGACTCAAACACTGGTTTGAGTGTCTCAAGAACAAAGGGAAGAAAGTGGAGTACTGGCATACGCTCACACAGCAAGGAGCCCCGAGCAGTGACAAACCGGACTAGATTACAAAAGACATCCATGCAAACGTAGACATGTGCACACACTTACACACACGCAGACACTTACACACTTGTCCCACTGAGAAACAGTTGGAAACAGAGACCAAGTCAAGCAGTAATAAGAGCAAAGGATAAAACATGCAATAATAATATTGATAATAATAATGTTGAAGATAAAATCTGTCATTGAATGCCAATAAGCCGAGCATCGAGTATTAGTATGTGATATTCATACTAATATTAGTGATGGTAACAATCTGAATATTTTTTTTTTTAAAGGTGAACCAAATTGTAATGTCCTCATTAAAGTGTTGACGTAACAAAACAATACTCACACAGATTGTGCTTTAGACCTCACTGTATTGTGGAAGTCGCTCATACTCTGTCGTTCAGATTCACACCAGAGGAAGAGATGACGAGAGACGAATGTACTCGAAATCCATTCAGTGAAAGGGGCCAGTGGACCCCAGTGACTCATTACGTGGTATTTAGTGAAAAGAGCGGGGATGTTGTGAAAAAGGTGATTCTGTTCTGAGAAGTCTATTTTAGTGGTTGTTGATCTGATGCAAAACAACGACGACAACATATTATAAAGCACAAAACGATCCATTTGGTGGATTTGTACCTTTAATGTTTCAGTGTTCTTATGTCTTTCATTGACTTAAAGTGACAGTGGCTCTCTATCCATCTTCATGTCGCACATTGATGTGTCAGCGTGTGTGTGTGTGTGTGTGTGTGTGTGTGAGGGCTATATGGGAATACGAGTGCCTACATTTACCGTCTGTGGAGTCTGTGTCTGTCTGTGTCATCATGCCATGTTCAAAATGTCTCCATCCAACTTCAGAAGCACAGAGACGAGAAGTGAGGACAAGAAAAACAAACAAGCGAGAAATCCGCCGCCGCTGCCCCTGCCGCCACAGGTCTCAGTGGCGTGAGTGTTCCTGGCTGGAGGACACTGACATGCTGTCAATCATCCATGTGTGCCAAAACCGTTGCCATCTCCGTCTCTCCCATTGCCAGACAGTCAAAGAGCAACTTTAAGAATGGAGCATGTCTTGATGCTTAAACCTCTGTTCTCTTTTTTTTTTTTTGCTTCTCTGATAACAGGCTGAAGTCAGAGGGAGCTAATGTTTTTTACCTTCGCTTCACTCCGACGTCATGAATCACATTTCATCAGGATCCAAGCGAATTTAACTCAGCTCCTCGTTTTCTGCTCCAGCAGAGTCAGACTGATGTAACACTTTCCTCCTGCGGGGCAATATCATACCAGTAAACACACTGATTAGCCACAACATCAAAACACCTATAATTGTGGTAATTGGTATCACGCAACAGGATGTTGACGTCAGATCCTTTCAGTGCTTCCTTGGAACTCTTATGGTGGGTTTCTGCCACTGAACAGGCCTCTGGGGGAAACCCATCAGAAACTGTTTTCATCCACCCATCACACTTTGTCAATGTTGCCCTGATCCTTACACTCCAACACATTAACGTTACATCCTGCCTCGTGACAGGTGCCATTTTTAAAATCAATTTAATGAATGTCCTTTACTCCACTTGTGAGTCATTTTAAAGTTGTGGCTGCTCAGTGTATATTTATTCCCTCTGCCAAGCAGGTGTGGTTTTCACCCTTGTCCATTTGTTTGTTTGTGTGTTTGTTTGTAAGCAAGATTACACAAAAACAACCTTCATTCCAACCTTCCAGGAAGGATGTGGAATGGTTTGGTGTGGATTCGGATCAGGGGGCACATCCAGTATATATTGTTTCACTGTCTTCAACGTTGTTTAACTTTTGCACAGTTTCCCAACTGAATAAGTTTGATGAACAAAATCAGGCACATTTAGGGGACTGATGTCTGTGAGTGTGTGAAACTTGGTGCAGTCCGATTGAATTGAAGGGGACTGCTGGTCCTTGACGGAGGTATGTTCTCTTCGGAGTGATATTCTAGTTTGAATATTTTGGCATTTCATTGGTCCTGTAATCTGATCTGGAAGAATAAGACCCCACCTCATTGACCTTTACACACGTCCAGAGCCTGTTGTTGAGCAGACTATTATGATTACCAGTGTCCCATTCATCCCATTATCTCTGAACGTTTAGACATCAGGTTTAAAGTGGCATATATTGAATTGTTTGGACACAAGGTCTGACCACTGGGACCATGCCTGTGAAACAGGATTGTAGTGTGCAGTCAGTAGAAACGCAGACTTGAAGAATTAAGCCCCCTGTTTGTTCAACCTGAAGAGATAAATGAGAGTATGACCTGTGTGGAAACCCACTCTGCAGTAGGGAACTGTGGATCATCACAGATCAGGATCCACTATATTAAGAACTGGAGCTCGATTGCACACTTACAGTATAAACCTACATGAATGTTATGTGCATATTGTTGAATTGTTTAAATGCCCGTCAGGATATGAAGTGTATCCTCCCTGGCTCATCCATCACTGATGCTGTGGTCGTACACTGGTTCACAAACCCAGTCAGTCAGTGGCCTCCGGGAGTTTTTCTAACTGTTGAATCGATCTGGCTGCTCATATTCTTGCTGTCCTCCGACAACCTTGTGAATGTCTCATTGTTGACTGCAAAAAAAAAAGGATCCTTCAATGGATTGGATGTAGAAGAAAAAGGGCTTGGGCATTATTATAAGAGCTTGGAACTAAACTATGTGTTAAAACGAGCTTCAACACATTTTCAGTCACACCTTAAGGGACTTTAGGTAGCGGGTTGGGCTAGGATGTGGGATTATTCTGTACTTTCTCTATGCACATCAAAACTCCCAGCATGTCAGCAGTGAGATAATCAAACCAAATCGATAACATTATCATGTTATACAAGCATCAAAGATGGTGCACTTCTGGGAACACTTTGTTTTGGGTTCATGCGAGGTGAGAGTGATCTAATAGAGTTGACATTTTCGGGCTGGACGGCCGCCTATTCCCGTCTCTGGATCTGTTGCTTTTGTTTACAGTCACCAAATTGTTCTGACTCTTGTCTATTGACCCTGCTTAGCTTATGTAACCATTTTAGCTGCGATACAGCTGCATGTTTAGCAAACACCATCAGCTTGTGTAATCGAGTGCAACCTCCGCTGATCATTCTGAATGCCGATGTGTTTACAGTCCTCGCCGTCCAATCGGTCTCTTAACGTCTTAGTGTGTTATTTGTTTGTGACCACGATGATTCAGGGTATTTTTTGCTCAGTTGCTGTGCTCTGACCAAGCAAGCTATTGCTTTAAAAAAAATAAAAAACAAACAAAACCTTTACTGTCACAGATTTTGACACTTGTCTTCCTTAAATTGATATCAGTGGTGACGATGCAGGAGGGCTGAGGTGGAAGTTTGGTGGGAATTTACTACTGCAGTCCCTGTGTATTTACCCTCAATGTCAATCACACAGTATGACTGCCATCGTGTGGTGGGTTTGTGTAACTACTTCGAAAAATAAATTGAAGTCGTTTCAGTGCTCGTCTGTCGTCCTTTTGAAAAACAACACATCCATACTGTACTCAGCTTTTCAAAAACATCAGACAGACAGCAAACATGTGTATACATGTGCTTATTCATCATCACCTTAAAAAACAATTATGTGTATATGATTTATAAATGTCATGTTATTGAAAATCGAATCAGATTTAAGATTGATTTGTGTTAAGTTTTGAGATTTCAACAAAAACACAGAAACAATGAAATTACTTTTATTTCAAATGCATCATTCAGCATTTCTTCATCGTGTAGTTTCTTTCCTGCTACCAACCCCTCTCTCTTGCTCACGGGTCAGTCACTCTACCAATAAAGAGTGGCACCTCGGCCCGGTCGCTCCACAGCAGCATGATGAAGGGCCGCATGGCGGAGAAGGAAGGGTGGGTGCGAGCGAACGCTATAGTAGTGACCGCTCCAGCCTCCACCCCCTGTTCGGTCAGCGCGAGGAAGGCCCTGTGTCTGACGTCGTCCAGAACCACCCTGTCCTCAGAGTACAGGCCGCACAGGTTGGCCTCCTCAAAGAGTGATGACAGACCTGGTCAGGGAGGAAATTAAAGATGAGGGGGGTGAATAAAGCACAGAGGAAAGAAAGTATCAGTGGATCAGATACTGAAGATCTAAAAGAGTAGACAGAGGAGACATCTTGCACAAATGGGACTTTGAGGCTGGCTGCTGGGTGAAGCAGTGCACCAGCTGAGTTGAGTGACAGACAGAGGAGCATGAGACAAACCTAGTTTCTTGATAAGTACGTTCATGTCTGGCTGGACATCCAGCTTGATCTTGGGCAGAGAAACCTCCACCTTCTGAGGAGATGTTGCTTTCATCTCTTCCATCATTTGGCGCACGGCCGTGTCTGTCATCTTTTCCTCCAGCTGCTGCAGGTCGCTCACTTTGTTGGAGCGAGGCAGCAGGATGTAAAGGCTGCTGTCACCTGAGAGAGCAAACCTCCCCACCTGTTGGAAACAATAAGATAATGTTGACATGGAGTCCAGTTATCTGTGAATATTATGTATTATGTATTTGAAAAACTGCAACTATGAAGTTTAAAGCCAAATCAGTAATAAACTTTTTCATTTGAAATGATTCTGTGGATGGACAGTCAAACTATCATATTATTAGTTGCCAGTTTGATAATAAAGATAAAAAATGTCTTGATAAATATATGATTAAAAAATATATGATGATTTGAGGCCAGATGCTGGAATAACGATTTTTCTTTAGGATGATTTTCTATTAGTTACAAAAAAACTGGACCAATAACCAGAAACTTGATGGAAGGATGCATTATTATATTTTCTATGACTTGTGAATGCTTATATGAATAGCAGAGATGATGATGACATCTTCAGCAACTGTGGAGCCAGATGTGAATGAATTACACCTCTAATGAATACAAATGTACAAATAATGAAGCATGTCGCAGCAATCAGGCTCCGCGGCTGTAAGGGAAACTTTGTGTGTGTTGTACACGATATAATAATGTGTTAATGTTGATGTGTTACCTGTGACTTCAGCCCCAACACATACATCATCGTCATCGTGTATCCCTTATTATAGAGGACAGGCACCTTCACCAGGTCACCATTCAGTTTTGTGAAAAGACCTTTTTTTTCATCAAACTTGACCTTCCACTGACCTGATGCACACATACACAGTTTATCACTTTCCCACTATTTCACATGCACACACATACAATTGCACACACACACATTTTACTGACCACTATAGGAGACAGCGTTGAGGAGGAGCAGCTGTGTACTGGGAGGAATGGAATCAACTAACTGTGTGATTTTATTGTTGGTTTTATTTGCCACCCAGCTGTTGATCATCTGTGTGTTTTCCTCGCTGGTGTTCAGCAGTCTGGTGGGCTTCGCTTCATAGAACTGAATGGACTGGTTGGTGAAGGACTCACCCAGGTTCATTTCTATGGAGAAGAAACAGAGAGATCACGTTGAGCTACAGAGAGATAAAGATCCTCTCAGCTTTTATGCTCTCAGAATCTCAGCATCTTTCTCTTTGCAGAGTGGCGATTTTGGGCACTTGACAGTGTCATAGAAGTACGTGGGTTATAGTAGATCTGAGAGGCCATTTGCAAGGAGCCGGACAACTTCTCTCTCAACTTCTTCGTGTGGAAGTGAAGACAGTGGAAGTCGTGAGGGACACACACTGCCCTCTCAATCGCTCTGCGGGTGTCATCCTTTGCACCTGCAGGTAACACAACAAAAGGAAATCATAATATAGAAAGATGCATAATCTAGACTGCTACAAAACGCTGCGAGGTACAGCATGTCTGAGCAGAAGAAAATAACTCTGACATTTCAAAGTCAGAAACATATTATGCAAATGAGAACTTATGTAAATGCAAAAAACGCAGGGTTGACTGCTTAGACCACAGATTCTTAAAGGCCAAGAATTGAAGTCATTTTTTTCTCTCTGTCAACAAAATGACACAAAGCATCTGGAATTAATAATTTGTCAGTACATTTCTCAATAATCTTCAAATTCTACAGCTCACCTGTTAGAAAACACCTATACAGTATTTGTCTAATATCTATCTATCTAAGATAGATAGATAGATAGATAGATAGATAGATAGATGTAAAAGTATAAGATCAAAAACTATAAAAAAAATAAAGAATATAAATGTAAACAAATTTTTTGACAAAATATTATATGAATAAATATATTCAATAATTTTTGTACCAAGCAACAGATGGGAGAGCATCCCGCTAATGCTGATCGGAGAAAAGAGCAAGTTGCTGGAAGGATACGTCTGTCTGAGGTAAGAATAGAGCTTCATGGAAAACTCTGCCAGGGACTCCTGCAACATGGGCTCTCCTGTACGACTGATCTCCTCCTGACACGGCTCCCATGCTGTGCTGGAGTCCTTGCACAAGAATGGAACAGGGGTAGGAGCAACTGGAAGGAAGTGAAGCAGACAATTTAAAATATACATTCATGTTGTACTCTCAACATAGCTTTTGAAGTTAGGAGGTTATGTTTCCCCCCTTGACTGTTGGTTGGTTTGAAGAGGTTACTACCATGGCACATTTGTTGGTTGGTTTGTTTACACAGGATTACACAGAAACTACTGGACAAACTGCCATGAAACCGGTGGAAGGATGTGTTATGAATAAAGGATGAAGCCATTGAATTATGGTTAGAATCTGGATCAGGGGACATACTCAGAAATGTTTTATCACTTTCTTTAGCATTGCAAGAAAGAGAGTTTCTAGACCTTTTTTACTGTTTTCCCAGAGAATAACTCATGGATCTAGATTAAATCAATCAGACATGTTTAGGGGACTTATAATTGTGAGTGCAATTTGATGCATATCCGAATAAGAATGCAGATCAAATGAATTTAAATGTGGTTTCATAGGAGTATGCGCTCTACTGAGTGCCATTCTTGTTTAGTTCAGTGTTTTATTGTACATTAACACTTCATCCATGTGTTGCTTTTAAAATGAATACTCATGGTTTTGCCTTTTGTTATAAGAATAAGTTGCATCAGAGCAAACAGGAGAAAAGTCTGTAAATCCTACCTTCAACAATAATGTATATGGTACTGAGCTTCTGCCCCTCTGTAGATTCACAGTGGTAAATGCCAGCATCCTCCATGACAGTGCCTCTGATCAGGACGGTTTGATCGTGGTCAAGTGGATAAAGCAGCTTCAGTCTCTGATCATCATAGTCTGAATCGTCTTGGAGATTCAGACTCATTTTCTTCCCAGCATCCGTCTCTTTGAACCAGAGCGCATTGGCAGAGACTTGGCTGCTGGGTGGGAAATGACACGGCAGGTGAACAGGTGAGCCTTCAAATACCTTAAGGGTATAGTCAAATGAGGCTGTAGAGAGAGAAACGAATCAGTCAAACTCTATTAGATTCAAACTTAAATCTCAAATATTACTGACAAAATAAACAATGTGTGTATCTCACCAGCAACAGCGATTTTGAAAAAGTTGATCATCTCCACATTGTTCTCCTTCACCAGACAAACGTACTCGCCCTCGTTGGCAGAGGTCACGGGGGATATAGACAGATACAGGCCATTCTTTTTAACCCTAACAGGACCAGTCGCCTCTGGGCTAACATCTTTACCTATGAGAAAGACATCAAACTGTAAACACATATAATTGTACACTTTTGCAACACAGTAAGAAGGGTTGTGATAGAAAATCAATTAAACCTTTAAATTTCCAGGTGATGTTGGCTCCACTGATGTCAGATTGAAAAATGACACATGGCAGCTCCAGAGTGGAACCATGTATCACCCAGAGTTGTGTGCATGATGAAAGCTGTACAGAAAGAAAATGTCAAACATCTGAAATAAATGGAGATAAATTAAAAAAGAAGTCTGATGTGTTATTCTGTTTGTGAACCCACTAATGGTTAAAGAAGACACTCGTTAACATGCTGCCTGAGTTATAAAAAGTTGTTTCTATGTTAAATTTACCTCAAAAATGAGCTGCAGCAAGACGCACAGTGTAGCCTGCAGTCTCATCTGTAACAGAGCACAGAGGAGAGGGAATAAATCGAAATGAGATGTTTTGCAAGTGAGGATTTCCAAATGAAGATGGCACCAAGCCTGAAGAAGGATCAATATGTGGCGCAGACAACATGGTTCTATTCACCCCATTAAAACCTTTTACACTGTGATCATTTTTCTACAATCATAAATTGCTATACGTTCGTCAATAACCGATGCCATAAAAACTCTAGAACATAAAGTTTAGTAAAAACAAAGTTCTTACAGCAGTAATACATAATATAATGTAAATCATTTTGCATTGGTTCAGCAATGAAGCAACATCAAAAGCCAGTGAAGCGTAAAATAACTCTCACCTCTTTGATTTCCAAACTTTAGTGATGTTGACACCTATTTCTTTAATTATTTTTCTGATACATCCACTATTCACTTCATCCACCTGCTCCGACTGTGTGTTCTCTGGAAACTGCAACCCTCAATGACTAATCTATGATTGTTGGTTTAGAGATGTTTGTTTGCACAATGCAGGGCTTCTGACTTTCTGGAAACCACATGATTTCATGTTGGCAACACATAGCCTACAAATGAAATGTTAAATATTTGTGTAATGATAAAACCTTTATGTTGGCATTTATAAAATATGTAATAATTATGTTAGCCAGTCTTTTGTTTAGAATTCTCAGTCTAGGTGGTTGGAGAAAGACATTTGAGAAAGTTTGCAGTCCGCATTCATGCACATCCAAATTCGGATGAACTGATAATACATACTGATAAAATTGACTTTTTCTGTATTCATTATTTTTAGGCTGGGAGGCTCCAAGTTCTGTTCCGTTATGTTATTATATATAATATTTTTGTGCTTGCCTCACTTTACGTCAAACAGCAATATGACACCAACTTTGTTCAATTGTATGATGAAATAACATTGTGCTTACATGTTATCTATGTGTGTTTTTTCAACTTGAGACAGCATCATTCAATGAAGAAACCAGAAAGGTGCCTTGTTTGCTTGTATTTGAAGAATAATTCAATTATAACAATTGAATAACGTTGAAGATGGAACTTCTGAGAAGAATGTGAATTCACACTACCCTCAGGCTTATCTGTCTTTTGTAGATATCAAATAACTCAATAACTTGAACAAACACAATTATGACATTCTACATTTTGAGATGAAGAAAATCATATAAATAACACAATATATCGATGCCATTTTTGTCCTTTTTTCATCTCTTCCTTTCTCTTTCTCTTCTTTTGCCGTTTGTTTGATGAGTCTAAATATGACAAGAAAACACAAGATGCCAGTGTTTTATTGACACATTTGTTTTCTTGTGGATGATATTTTTAATTTCTTTAAAAGGAAAAAAAACTTGAATACGCAGCAAGTTTGTAGGTCGATCGACAAATCGACCCTCGATTGAGCGGCCTGTCTCCCGACGAGACCTTTGGGCGTAATCAGTCGAGTCCAACCGAAGGCCGAGTGTTATAAGGGAGCGAGGAAGAGCTTTAAAACTTTTCCAAAGACGTTTTCACATTCAGGAACAAAACCTAGATTTAGAGGAAGGTGTTGCTCTGGTTCTTCCCTGAGCGGACGAGCATGTGAGCCGCCTGCAAACACCGTGGAGTCGAGTTTGGCCTCGCTGGAGAAAAAGATCAACTTTAAGACAGTAAGTTTTCCTCCTGGTCATCTGATCTGGTCGACTAGCGGAAACAGCAACAACAATGGCAGAGAGCCACCACAAGCCTCAAGCCACAAGTTTATTCCAGCCTGTGGTCCCATCCGATCTCATGGGGAGACCGTTTCAGAAGCTGTTTGATCAGATCGGATCGGTTTTCATTATTGTGTCCAGCACAAGCTACATCAGGCTCTCACCATTGTTTAGACAAAAAGAACAGAGTACCAAAAAGCAAGAAAGAAACTAACCAGAGCAGCAGCTTCAGAAACAAATCAACCATCCTGGTGTTGCTTTAGATTTCGGTAGCCAACTTATAAGCATGAATTAACGAATCAACCATTCCATTCTGTCACCAGAACATTTCTGCATTTTGATCAAATATTTCATAATATATGTAGATTGTCTTAACTCATCTTGATGATTGCAATACAGAAGAAAATCACTCTGAGCCTCTCTTGATTCACACCATTCACACAAGCGGTTGTTCTCAGGGATGTTTTTAAATCGACCAACTTTGAGAGTCAGAGCAAGGATTCCTGTTCTCATGCTTACATCCAAAACTTAGCCAAAAATCTGCTTCTTATATCGTCTGTCAGTCTTTTCAAAAGAAATGACATTACTTTTGCCTTCAGTTCCATTCAA